TTTCTATGGTTTCACTCTTCTTTAGATACGAAGTTTCCCCTCTGTGCCACCTTTCCTTCTCCATTTTCTCCTTCTCAGTGCCCCTTCTCATCTGTTTGTTTTTTTCCCACAGGCTTCCAGGAGCCAGTCTCCTTCCAGATAATCGGGATCTTATCCTTTTACAACCGTTCCTGGGAAGAAATTCTGATCTCAAGTTGGTTGGGGGAGTTGCAGACTCATGGCTGGGATAGGAGCTCTGACACTGTCATTTACCTGTGGCCTTGGTCCAGGGGCAATTTTAGCAATGAGAAGTTGATGGAATTAGACAACATATTCGTACACTCTTCAGTATGTTTGTTCAGATATTTCACAACCGCATCATTCAATGGCAGCTTAAATGTAAGTTCAGGTTCTTCAGTGAGGATTGGGGATATGGGAGGTGTGTGTGTGTGTGTGTGTGTGAATGAGTTTCTTATTCTTCTGAGAAACAGCCTGCACTCATTTCTGAACCTTCTCTCTCCCGAGCGTACCTCCCTCATTGACCGCAGGCTTGTGCTCTATCACCTTCCCTGAGTGCTCACCTGTGACCGCCCCTCTCCCTGGTCTCCAAGCACATGCTCTCAGCTTCCTCACTCTATGACCGATGCCTTAAGGTGTGGTTTCCTCCCCCATGTAATCTCTTCGACAATCTCTGTCTATACATTCAGTGTAACCTAGAGCATTCCAAACAGCCAAGGTTATTGTAATCCCATCTCTCTCACACTGAGTCCTTCCTTATCCTCTCACTCACACCGTTTACATTGTCTTCTTCAAACACTTTGTGCCATCCTTTTTGTCATTCATCTCTTTCTGCATCTCTAATTACCACCAGTTCTCCTTTCTCAGAACCTCTGATCAAACACACTGTTGCTATTCGTTCAAATCTTCTAAACTACTCCCTTCTGCTTCTATCATCTTTTGATGTAAAATTTTTATTTTATATTTTCATTCCTTATTTCCCCTAATTTACAGCCCTTCTTTCTCAGATCCTTTTGATATACAGGTAGCAGGACGCTGTGAGCTGCACTCTGGGGAAACCTCAGCAGGGTTTGTGCAGGTTGCTTATCAAGGATCAGAGTTGCTGAGCTTCCAGAAGAAATCATGGTCTCCAAAGGGTGGAGGTTGGGCTAAGCTTGTCAGCAGTCTATTCAATTTGGACCAAGGTACCTCGGAAATACTGCACAGGCTGCTCAGTGACTCCTGCCCACGTTTCCTCTTGGGTCTTCTTGATGCAGGGAAGGCATATCTCCAGCGACAAGGTCAGTCCTGCACCTGCCCTCGAAGAACTTTCTGTTCTAAAATCACCTCTTCCCACCATGCCCTTCCAATTTGGGACAAGAAGGAGGCAAGGGGGAGAGGGGATAGTGGGTGGCAGGTTCCTAGAGGCGGGAAAGGTGTGTCTGTCTAAAGTGACCTTAGAGTCTGCCTCAGAGTCCTCATCTGATGTCTCTCCTGTCCTCGGCAGTAAGACCAGAGGCCTGGCTGTCCCCTGGCCCCAGTCCTGGTCCTGGCCGTCTGGTGCTGGTTTGTCACGTGTCTGGCTTCTACCCAAAGCCTATTTGGGTGACGTGGATGCGGGGTGAACAGGAGCAACAGGGCACTCAGAGAAGTGACGTCGTGCCTAATGCCGACGGGACGTGGTATCTTCGGGTGTCCTTGGAAGTGGAAGCCAGAGAGGCATCTGGCCTGAGCTGCCGGGTGAGACACAGCAGTCTGGGGGACCAGGACGTCGTCCTCTACTGGGGTGAGCAAGGACTGGGACCAGGCTGGGAATGGGGGTAGGTGGTCCTTGATCTGAGCAGGAAAGCCAGATGAAAAATGGAAATTTTAGGAACTCCACACCCCAGAGGAACACAAATGAAAAGTAGAAATATGGGAGTTGAAAATGAGAGCCCCACAGACATAGGAAGATGTTGCGCTTAATGAAGGAATCATCTCTGAGGGAGGAGGGGAGAAGAAATAGGGAGAAAGGAGACTGGGGAGGCAGACCCTGGAATGAACAAAGGAAGAGCAGGGCCATGCAGTGACACCAAGAGTGGGTTTGAAATGACACCACTGTGTGCACCCGGATCCACAGGGCACCGCAGCTCCGTGGGCTGGATCTTCTTGGCAGTGACGGTGCCCCTGCTGCTCCTGCCAGGTCTTGCGTTTTGGGTTCGGAAGCGCCGGTGAGTTCTCCGTGTCCATCCTTCCTGCTCTTTTCCCCACTCCCCACTTGTCTGCCCATCTTTGTTTTCTCTCTTTTCCTTCACTTCTCCTCCCCCCAGCGCCCTTCCCTCTTCCCCCTCAGGTCTCCCCTCCACCCCATGTCGAGTGACTTCCGTCTGTTTTCTTCCCAGGACACTCTGTCAACCCGCAAGCTCTTGTCTCCCTTTGGAATGAGATGCCAGCAGCTCAGGAGCTCGGGATGTAGCTAAACTCAGCCCAGTGATGCCGGCCTTCAACTCTCCATGTACGACTTTTCTTGTTGTTGTTTATTTCTGCTTAATGACCAGTTGTCACTATGAGCAAAGTGTAATTTTGTAGAATTTGTGGTTCTAGCCTGTGTTATGGGGCTTTAAAATTCAAAATTTAAATGCCGATTGAAGGAGGCCCTAGGGACACTCAGATATTCAAACATGAATGGATTATCAAGTGTATTTCAGATGTCACTTCCTCCAGAGAGCCTTCCCTGATTCACGGGGCGGGGGGGCAGTCTCCACCTTGTTAAACTCCCATCACAGTTTGACTGGACCTTGTTAAATGTCCTCCTCACTTCAGACCCTTTGTTGTGCCTATTTAGTCCTGTTTTCCCCTTCTAGTTTTTAAGCTTCTTGACAGCAGAGTGCATGTCTTTTTACCATATGTATCCTTGGCAATGTGTCTTCCCCGCACTTAATACGTTCTCAATAAAAATCCATGCTGCACTTG